AGGGAGATTATCTGTTTACATATGCCCTTTGTACTTTCTGAATCCTGTAACTTGTGGAAGTATCTTCAAAAAAGAATAAAAGTATAGCAGCAGAGGCAATTTCTTTATGTAAAAATAGCCTCCCACACCACATTAAACCACACTACAGTTTTCTATCGCAGGACAGAACAATCATAATTCTAATTCTGAAGCATTAGAAAAGGTTAATTTCTAATATGTATTTTCTTAAACAGAATATATGGAGCTCAGTGACAGTTAAAATTTATAAAATAATAAAAATAATATAGTCACATTTCCGAAAATTTGGAGAAAATTGAAAAAGAAAAAAACACAAAAAAATCTACCACCTGTAATTTTACCACTGTCAAATAACCACTCTTTGCTTTGGTATAAGGTTTTCTTCCAGCACATTTCTCCATCTTATTGAAATCAATCCCAGCCATACTACTTATTGGTCCTGTTAAAACAGACACTATGGGCTAACAGGAGGAATCAGGAGATCTTAAGTTTAATTGCAATTTGTTCTCAAAATCTCTAAATGACTTTGAACAAGTGGTTTTTCCCATCAGCGAACTACTCTCCAGCTCTGCAAGGGCAATAGAGCCTGCCTCAAATGCCTCTCAAAATAACAGAGATAGGAAATGGTTTGTGTAACACGGAAAACCCCCGGCTAAATGGAATGTGAATATTCAGGCTAGGGTGCAAAAATAAGCAGCACAGCAGAGGGGAACTGTTAGGAAGAGCTGAGGCTAAGTCTGAGTTCCTTACCACCTCTTTGTCATGCTGGTATTTTTGAATGGTGGTGAGGGGGTGTTGGGGCAAAGTATTATCAAAGAGAATTTCATTAGAAAATGGCTATAGAATCTGAGGATAGGGCTTAGCCACTGCGTAATCCTGGAGCTCAATTCAATTTGCAGGATGTACACCGGAAAATAGATGAAATCCTGCTTTAAAAATAATTAGGATTATTATTTCTCCAGAGGGCAGACAAGGAAACACTTAAGATGACAGGCTTCATCCTGCTCTGCGAAACCATTTTTTCACTTGTTTAAATGGATAGTCAAGCCAGTCACGTACTTGCTATTAGAGGGAGCAGGCAGATCTCACAGAAAGATGTCTGGTTTTGGAAACTGATAGGTCTGAATTGATCCTCACAATTAGGAACATTAAGTTAAATCCTGCATCTGAGCAAAGACAGGCAGACACTGCGCTAAATGGAATATAGTTACTTAATGCCTGTGAGAGATGATCCAGATAAAACCAACCAGCTCTGTTCTTGCTTTAAAATCTTCCCTTGTTCACTGACAAGGAACAGTCTGACAGAGGAGGTTTTCCTCACGTGCAACGTGGAGGGAGGGAGGGTACCTGATATCTTCAATTAGTTACCTATCCTCTCAGAATCACACCTTGTCATTTGAATGACCACCATGGCAAAAGTCTGCTGCATAGAAAGGCTGCAAGTGTCAGCGATGGCTAAGTTGATGGTTTGATGACATGGGTGGCCTTCACAGCTCACTGCAAACAGACCTAGATTTCCTCCTTCATTTCATGTCTCATAAACTGTGCCTGAGTCGTTCATTTTCCTCATTCAGTGACACCTTTTCTGCTTTAACTCCACTGACTGGCATATATTCCCCTGGCAGGTGCCACCAGCCTAAGGCCTCAGTGATCACGGGGCTAGGACTGCCTCACTCACTCACTCACTCACTCACTCTTTACACACCTCTCTTAGCTGTCAAAGCCCTGCTCCAGGCAGATTAATCTANTGGGGCTAGGACTGCCTCACTCACTCACTCACTCTTTACACACCTCTCTTAGCTGTCAAAGCCCTGCTCCAGGCAGATTAATCTAAACTGTCTAAACCAAATTCAACTAGTGTTCTTTCCCTCTAAGTTTTTATCTAATACACACATGGCAAATATATTTATAGCCTATATCAGAGTGTCAAGTACAAGATGCAGAGGAGAGAACGATAACTCTGTCTGGTAGAGAGGAAGGAAAGAATCAGGAGAGGAAATGAGGGTTAAGCTGGGTTTAGGATTTGCTGTGCTGAGGGCAAGAGGAGACGGGGTGTGAAACGGCAGGATGGGCAACAGGAAGGAGTGTGATCTTACTGAATAGAAGCATGGAGGTGGGGAGGTAGTGGATGAAGGTCTCTATGTCAAGCTAAGAGATCTGTATTTACCTTATGTACAAACATGGTAAAAGCTGCCATTAATTGAGCACTTATTATGTACCAGGCACTGCACTAGGTGCTTTCTGTGAATCATTTAAGGAAAGAACCACCTTATGAAATAGGTACTATTATTATTATCTCCACTCTGAATGTGAAGAAACTGAGACTGATGAGGGTACCAAATTTACCCAAGGTGAGATTAGGACTTTTTTTGAAATATTGTTGGGGCAAATTAGAACTTTTTTTGGAATACTGCTGGAGCAAGAGTTGAAGGCAGGAAGCACAGTCAGGAAGGTCCTGGGTTCCTTCACACGAGTGATGCTGAGGGTTGAAGCCAGTGTAGTGGAGTCATGGGTGCAATGGAGAGCGGGATCTCAAGAGCTAACATGCCGAGGCTGATTTCTGCTAACTGAGTAGGCAGGGCAGCGATGCCAAGGGAAGAGTCCAGCATGTCTCCCAGCACAAGCAGTGGTGACTGGTGGAGCCATGTGTATTTGGGGGGACATTTAGGAGGGTGATGAAGCCCACTTGGGGTGTACCGAGATTGAGGACCCCACAGGGCAGGCTAGTCAGACCAGACAACAGAATTCTCTGCTATGTGGCAGGCACAGTACCATAAAAGAATCCTAAGCCTAAAGTACCACTCCAGTGCAGAGTTGGATTCCTCACCTTGCCAAATTGTAGTACCTGGTTCATGCAAGGGCGAAGATGCTGTACCAGGTAGCTAACCAGTCCGCGTAGTTCGCAGACAACTAGGTTGAAAACTAAAGTTGAGACGTCCATTAGGAAATTAATTCCAAGATCTCACTTTCAGTAGCAAAACTGGAGCTGGAGATGAAAGTGGGAATCATAAGCGTGTGAGTTCTGGTGGTTAAAACCACAGAAAGGAGGGAGATAACACAACAGGATAGAAAGTGGGAAAAGGGCCCTGACGGGTTTGGCTCAGTGGTTAGAGTATCGGCCTGCAAACTGAAGGATCCTGGGTTCGATTCCAGCCAAGGGTATGGACCTTGGTTGCAGGCTCAATCCCCAGATCCCCAGCCCCGGTTGGGGCTTGTGCAGGAGGCAGCCAATTGATATGCCTCTCTCACATCGATGTCTCTCTCTCCCCCTCCCCCCTTCCACTCTCTCTAAAAAGCAATGGAAAAAATATCCTCAGGTTAGGATTTAAAAAAACAAAAGTGCGAAAAGATCTGGTAACTTTTATGAGACTACCTAATAAAGTGTGCTTCAAATTCTTATGTCATTGTCTTTACAACCCAGGTGACAACATATGAACAAATTGCTGTCATGAAGTGCACCCAGCTTTGTGCCTACCTTATATTTTGAAGTATCCCAGTTGTGGACCACGCGTGCTGGGATGAGGAAACTGTCATCTACATGGCAGCTGCTGCAGTAATACCACCCACTGTAGTTGCACACCTTGGCTTTCCCATTGGAAAGGCCTATGGATCGCTGGCATCCTGTTCCAAACAAAAGCAAAAGTCTCTGATTATTGCACTGTTAACAGCACACAGCACAAGGCTACACAACCCTCAACTCAAGTTAAACAAAATCCCACAACAGGACAAAAGTTGCAGAGAATCCATGTATATCCATGAGTCCTCCTTCCCAGCCTGACAGCTCAGCCCCCTTGCCTTCTGGGGATCACTGACACTGGTCCATTTCTGGTCTCTTCTGGTTCCATCTCTTTGGCATGCAGCTGCCAGCGATCAGCCTCCCTACAACCCCACTTGAATCTCCTTGCTTCCCTCCTCAGAAATTCTATTTTCATGTGGCACTTTGCTGGGGCTTCTCATACAGGATTTTATATAAACCACACATCTCTGTGAGAGAGACGTTACCAGCTCTGTTTTACAGATGAGTAAACTAAGGCTTTAGCCAGGTTAAGTCTTTTGTCTTGAGGTCACTCAGCCAATAAGAGGTGGAGCTGGATTTGGCTCTAAGCTTGTCTGACTCTAAAATGATCCTAAAAACTGATATGAAGCCTTTCTTTGTTTCCAAAATCAATGAAAGGAATCTGTCCTTTGGCCCCCATCTCACCTTTCCAACTACCTGCTCTGACTACTCTCCAGTGGGAGTGTAACCTCTTTACTCCAGTCAGAGAACTCTCCACACTGTTCCCCAAATAAAAACAGTGTGCTAACTCCACCCTCTATATCTTGGTGCATATTAGTTGTCCTTACACAAGACCCTCTTCTATGATCTCTACTTTGCCAAATCCTGCCTATTATTCAAGGCCATTGGTTGCCTGCAAGTGACAGCTAAGGCCCTTTTTGTGTCCAAGGAAGTCTGTGGCTCTGTGAGCACTGTCCTGGTCCTGTCAGGGGACCTGGTAATAATCATGGCTCTGCCACAAAGAAGCCATTCATTTTCCTTAGATGGGAGGAAACACCTTCTGCTGATAAGTACAGAAACTCTGTCACAGTCAATCCAATGGACCAAATCCAGAACAGGTGGATTATATAAATAACAACATAAATAACAACATTTTCCTGAAATTTTTTATTTACAGCTTTCATTTTATTTTATTTATATGTCTTTATTNTAATAACCATGATTATATAAATAACAACATTTTCCTGAAATTTTTTATTTACAGCTTTCATTTTATTTTATTTATATGTCTTTATTGATTTCAGGGACAGGAAGGAAGAGGGAGAGAGAGAGAAACATCAGTGATGAGAGAGTCATTGATCGGCTGCCTCCTGCACGCCCCCCACTGGGGATTGAGCCCACACCCTGGGCATGTGCCCTGACCAGGAATCGAACCCCAATCGCCTGAATCACGGCTGGGCTGAAACACATCTAACAAGTCCCCAGCCTACGAAGATAGTGATTCACATGAACAGCAAGAATAAAAGGATCACAGAGCTCACAGAACTTTCATTTTCATCACCAATAAAATGGCATCAGCAATCAAGCAGTTTCACGGTGCACCCGCCAGGAAGCGTGAGATCTACTGTTTTTAAATAGGAGAGGTCGTGAAAGACAGAGAGTCGACGTGCTGGTGCAATGCTTTAAGAGCTCAATACTCTTCCTCCCTAGAGCAGCAGTTCCTTTACTAGTGAGCTGCAACACAGTCTTGGGGAGCTCCTGGGGAGTGAGGTACGTGTGAAAGATAAGGAAGCACCCAGCACCCATGCTGCTTCTGTCGGGCGCGCAGGAGGTGCCGCCCCAGTGGCGGGCTCTGAGCGTGGGAATGCTGTCTGCGCGCTCCCCGACGGCGCTGCCTGAAGCCTGCACGCCTTGTTATGTGTCTGTACAGCCAGAGCCACACCATAAACTTCTCAGATCTATTTTTCATCCTCAGCACTTAACACACAGCTTTGCACATAGCAGACCATCGATAAACGTTTATGTCGAAGGGATGATACACGGAATGTTACTTAACACTCATTCAGCACATGCACGTAGAGAGATTTTCATTTCTGTAGCTATTCTAGAACCGGTCCTCCTAACCCAGGCATCATCTGCCGCTTGAAATAGCCTACTTTTGTTAATTTCCCTATGAAAATATGATGCCTATTCTAAGAAATTCTGCATTACACACATGCTTATATATGAACTGTGGAACAAAGGTGAGGGAACCTTGACATATTCTAGACACTGGGATATCGCAGTTTCCAAAAATTAACTTGCAGACAAACTGACTTCACGCTGCAATGACACTGAATAGAACTCAGTCTTTCCTCATGATTGAGAAAGTGATCATGGTTTTATAGAAACCCAGGATCATCACCATAGTTGAAACTCTCAGCATAGAATACTACAAAGACAAACTTAGGTTACTTTCGCTTTTCTGGTTATTTGAATTTTGGATATAATAAACATCAGTAAGCATTTGCTGGATATTTATATATGTTTCAGTAGGTATTACTGGGTTTATCAGTCTATACTTTTATCATAATTTTCTAGTGAAACATACACGAGAAATATTAAAATACACAAATATGCATTTTAAGAAAGTATATAGCCTAAAGTATATCAACCAGGCACACATGTCCAAAGCCTAACATAATGGGGGTTCAACTATGTGAGCTAACAAATGAGCTGAACATCCTTGCCTGTTTGCATAGGTCTCCAGGCTCACAGAGGAGAGAAAGGCTGAGACAACATGGCTCAGGTTCATTCAGGTTTTAGTTTAGACAGAAGCCCCAGCACAAAAACTCCAACCTCTAAGTCTTTGGGTGTCTTTACCTGTATACCTTATTTAGAACCATGCTCTCCTACTCTCAGTGATGAAATCACCCCTAATAACAGAAGTAGGTTTCAACCTACCCACATGCTTAGGGCTGTTTTGGATACATAGTGTATACACAAGCACAAGTCTAGAGTCAGAAAGCTTGTTCTTGCCTCGGGCACAATATGAGTCTGACTCATCCACTCTCTAGGCCTGCTTTCCTCACTGCAGAATTTGTGGGCTAGCCCAAATCTGTGGTTTGCCAAGTTCACTGACCATCAGAATTTTCTAGAGATGTCTATGAAAAATGTATACCCCCAGCCCAGAGAATTTGATTCTGTAGACGGGGGTAGAGCCCTGGAAGTTGCATTTCTACCCAACCACCACCAGGAGCTGAGGATTGCTCCCTGGTTTCCAGGGGACTGCCAAAGTCCCTCCAAGCTCACTCATTCTAATTCTATTCAAAAAGTGCAGAGGGTGTACGAATTATAAGTTCAGTAGAAAGCTCATAATTTGTCACACAGTTTACTTTCTAGGCTTCCAAAATCAACACTTCAGGTTCTCAGTTTATTTCCAAAAATCTGGTATGTAGAAACAACCTGAGTTCATTATACTCGTGTTTTTCCAGAGCACCCATTGTCCCCACTGAGAAGAATCTTACTGACTTAGAATTAAAACTTTTAATCTTCAAATCCAATGTATTTGTCATTGAAAGAACATAGGGTGGTTGGGAAAGAAGATAAGAGGCTAATTGGTGGCCTGATGTAGATTCATTTTCTAAAAACAACATATACCATTTATTTGAAGAAGGAAACACCCGTTCTTTCAATTAACTGCACGATTTCCTTCTTTAATGTTATACTAGCAAATCATAGACTAAAAATGTCTGAAACAATTCCTTATAAAGATACAGAATCTGGGATTTCACTATCATTATAAAGTTTTCAACAGAGAGGAAAATGTGTTTTCTTAATAATTACTGTTAGAAAAACACATTTTTTGGAGGGTGCCAAAGATTGACTGCAACAAGCAATGTTATGGGGAGAAAAATAGAGCTGCAAAGCAGAAACAAAAAACACTTAATTGAAATAACTAATTAGTGCTTATTTACATATTATATTTGTATGTACTTTCAAATAGACTTTTCAACAATGTTTCTAAATTAAAGGGCATTTGTAGTAGGGAACACTCCACATGTTGGATGAAAGCAAATACATTCCTTCCAGTCTCTTTTTGAAACTTTTCAGAAAGTGTATTCAATTCATAGGAACAAAAAACTATCTCACAAGAGAACCCACTGGCCTTTTTTTTATTTTATTGCTTCCCACCCCACTTCAAATCTTTAATGAACACATGCTCTGAAGAGCTTAGCTTCCCTCTGATACACTTGGGGAAACAAATGTAACCATTTAACCGAAAACCTATTTGCTGCATGTAAGTCCATTTCCCAAATGGCCTTTTAAGACACCCCAAAGAATCCGTTGCTGGGGGTTGACGCAGAAATTTTGGCATAATTCTCCACAAAGGCACACTCTTTCTTCTAACAAGTGTACCCAGTTAGCTCAGTTGGCTGCAACGTGGTGTTACTGAAGCTGAGATCTGAAGAGGAGCCAACCACCTTCTCTGTATTTCATGGCTACCAGCTCAGCCCTCGGGCCAGACCAGCAGTTGGAAAACCCCCGGGCAGGAGAGAAAAGTAACAAGGGCTGTGGCCGGGTCCGGTGCACCTGTCTCACGGAGGAAAGAGCATGCACGACGCTGCCTCAGTGTGGTCAGCCGTGCTGCCTTTCCCTAATTTGATAAGGTAAATGCAGAATTTTGTATTTGGAAGGTAAAAAAGCTCTAAGAAGAGAACAGGGGCAAATAAGAAAAAGGAGAAGGTGCCTCTATAAGAGGGAGGGGGAAAGATAAAAAGAGGGTGAAGACAAATTTGCTCCGTTAAAGTAGAAAAAAAACCGAGCAAGTTGCATAACCCCCTTTTAACTGTATGCACACAGGGTGGGGAGAGGTGGCCACAGGAGAGGAAGGAGACAGCCCTGTCCCTCCCTCCTCCACTCTGTCCAGCGCCCTGTCATGGGACGGTGAGCTGTGGTAAACATTCTGCAAAATGTGGCTTGCAGGCCTGGACTTGGGTCATGTGCTTTAGAGGCCAGAATTGCCCAAATGAAGAAAATCAGAAACGGGGGTTCAATGACTTGCTATTTTACAAGAATTAGGGAAGAAAATCATAAAGAACTTAGCTTTCCTAGCTTACAATCTGTAACCACTGGCTCATTACGT